TACTGCTCAAAAATCTTGTTTTAGGCTAACCCTACCAAAACAAACTGTAGAAACACAGAACAGTTATGGTTAAAGGTACCTTTAAAGATCATATACACCTCCACCTCTTTTAATGACAGCAAAACCCAACAACATGTGACATAACAAATYAACAATGATTAAATAATTGCACAAACACCTATTTTTCACTTAGCAAATCTGGTCACTCGGTTCATATTTAACTATCAGGYGCCTTAGAAAATTCCTCACAGAAACTTCTGCAACACAATCCACATATCAATAAGTACAGAAGTCAACAGGGGAAAAAAAACCAAACCTAACCAACCAACAAAAGTTCCAATAATCCTCATTCAATACAACACAGTCATTCAAAGATGGAAACAAGAGATACTCTGCTCTAGCACTGCTGTGTTTGTAATCTGTCATCACACAGCCACCTTTTAGAGGCAGTGTATGGGGACTCCAGAGCAAGCAGACAACACACACAATCTCAGCACTCTCACTTCTTGGCAAACTTATCCAACCAGTCTGCAGCTGTACCTTCTGATAAAGAGCTCTGTTTGGACAAAGCTGGAKTCAGCCACAGAACAGCAGGTCAGGCCATCTTCAAAGCAACAGGTTGGTGTAACACTGGGTGCAAAGTAATATTCCAAGTTTATTGCTCTTCAACAGATAACCAAGTAAGCACTAAAAAAGGACAACATTTACCAAAGRCACTTCAAGTAGCTGGCACTCAGCTAGATTATCTTCTGTATACCAGGTTTTGAATTTTTCTTACCTGAATTTCATTCACTCTGGATTTTGTTTCTACAAATTAAGATTTAGACTTTTGATTCTAGAACTTCTTACTTTTCATTTGAGCTCCACAGATGATCCACTCATTAGCTCAACACATTGTTTTCTGAAGCAACACACTCCAAACTCCTTTTCCTTTCTCACAYCAGATAAAATTTGCATCTGATTGTGCCTACCTTAAAAGCTCTACTACCAGCACCTGAACTGAAAAGGCAACTGCTGTGTAAAGGTAAGATATTTTTGCTTCTCCTGCTACAGAACAGTCCTTTGTTTCTCAATATTGCCCTGCCAGCAATGCTACATAAAAGGGAACAGAAAGAAAACAACCTAGATTTGACCATATTTCTAAACAGGACACTTGACTCTAATCTCACAAACAGTAAATCCTGCTACCTGTTGTTCACTATCAAACAATATTCATATCCATGACATAAAATCTAGTTGTTTAAGAAGGCAAGAGAGAAAAACTGTTTAAATCAAGTAACTGTTCAACCTTTATGTAGCACAAGTGCCTAAACAACTATTACAGTTCTTTTATGATACTTCACACGTTCAGATTTTAACTCAAATAACATTTTACTTCATTTCCATATATATGGGAGTTCTTGCATACCAGAAGCATCACAGTGCAACAGCAACATTGAAAATGACAGATCTACCACAATGAAACAAAGCTAAGAATCACACCTCATATTTCAATATTCCAGTGAATTATCCTCAAATACACACTGGACAAACGTCTGGCAGCTTGCCTTTTTTTTTTTCTGATTATCAAACAATCCAGATTTAAACTCTCCTGTCTGCTGCTCCTACCAGTGCAGCTGCTCTGTTTCTTCACACAGCAGTTTCATATASTGCCCAACCTATGACAGTTCACCACTATTTCATTCCAACTTTTCAAATACCTTCTATAGTATTCCTATTCCTTCTCTCTGTGTTGCCATATTGCTTCACCAAACACCTGTTCAAATGTGCATTTATTTCCATACCATTTTCAAAAAATAAATGCATATTCACACATGGATTTTTTAACTATTATCATAACATTTAACATATAACAAGGACCAACCACATTCTGTTGTCTTTCTGAAATCTCTATCACACTTTCCCATATTCAAGTTAGTAACCTGCTTTGCTTGACACCCTATTTTGGCCGTGACCTCACATGAAAAATCAGTAAAACATTTTAAAGTCTGATTTTTCTAGTAGTTACTTAGGAATTTTCTCTTTTTTTTATTTTTTTTTTTTTTTAGTTTTTGTATATGGTACACTGCACACTTATATTATCTATATCTTCATAATCCAATCCTTCTAGTTCCACTACCAGTCAGGAGTTTTGTAATCCAGGCCTCTTTAAGAAAAAAATTCATTGGGATCTTAAAACACATGCATTCACTTTTTTCTAGCCTGAGAAGCTCAACACAACCAACATTCCAAATTGAAAAAAAAAATTATTTCTTCAGTAAAATACCTGCAATATGCATTGTGTACATCCTTTCTATTCACCTCACTTTATGGTTTTGCTTATTTTCAATTTATGCTTACATTGAAAAAAACTTTGCACAAACTTTTCACTGTGTGCAAACTAACGAGGCACTGAAATTATGAGGAATTTGTTATTTAGTAGAACACAGGTCCTCATTTACAGCATAGACCAAAAGTACTTGCTGCAATGCAAAATACATTTATAAATTAAAGGTGATGATTCCTCCTATAGATGCCATACATCTCCCCTAGTTCAAGGCTACACTAGTTTGCACATTTAAGTTTAGTCCGTACTTCATTGCATCATGCACTGTTTGATTGAGACGTGGAAGAAGTACTTGTACAAATAACCCGAACCCAATAGTCTTGCTTTCCTAAAAGACACAGCATTTATTAAAGCAGGTCTATTTCTATWCAAAAATATAAAAGTTACTGTTATTTCAGATTCCTGATATATTTTCTCTTCCTCCCTTCAGTGTTTTGGTGTGAGAGTTGAGAGGATTTTAGCAATACTTCTCTGAGGAATTACAGATKAAATAAATCATTGTTTCTAACTGTCAATTGAAATGGTAACAATTGATTTGGTTTTCTAGTGACATTTTTCTACCAGGGTTTGGATTTTTTGTTATAMCGCTTTCAAATATTTCTTTTACTACCATTATCAGAATTGGCTGAGTAGTAGAAAAGGCAACCAAAAGTAATAACAGTTTTGAGTTTCATCAACATGTCAACACACTCAAAATAACAGCACTCTTAAAAACTACAGTGATAATATTTTTCCTTCATACTCACATGTTACAGGGAAAATGAAAACAATTGTGGGAAATTTCAAGGTGAAAGGAAAACCAAAACCTCAGATATAGAAAAAATCCCCCTTCATCTGCTATTTTTGGACTCGAAGTCCAAAAGTCACTAGCAGTTAAGTTTTCCTTTTTATCCAGCGATTATACTTCAAAACTTTGTGCCTGAAGAACAAAATTATTTCAACACAACATTGCCGCTTCTGGCGGATGTTCTGAAGTGTTATCAGTCAAGTTCACTTATGCGAGAAAGAATCCGGGAAGACTGACATCCGAATTACACTCATCAAGACTAAAATGGTTGAGTCGCTGTGTGACGCTAGGCACGGATGCTCTTAACTTCATTGTTACTATTATCTTCACATTTAGATGTAAAAATAGCTTGTCAAGGTTAAGTCAAGTCTGGAACTTCACCTTTTAAATCGCAAAAGAGAAGAAATAACCTTGAACAAAGGGAGGAGAGAGAGTGCCAGTGCAACAAGTTTGCCAAGCGTTGGAAAACTAAGTCTTGGAGCCGTAAAGTTTTGAAATGTGATGCCTTCTCAATATTTACAAACTTAGTAACAATCATCTTTTTCGAAAGCTACATCATTGCCAGAGGGGGGAGACTATTACATGCACGAGCACAATCCTACAGCAGCAGCGCYTCAACTCCCTCCCTGAGAAAGCATTTCTCAGATACTATACAAGTGTTTTACGGTGGCATGGCTTGCTCGTTTCGGGTATTTTTATCACATGAACCTCCAGAGACTACCTCCTCTAACTTGTTCCTCCTTCATTAAAGAGGGAAGGGACASAGTGTCTCCTATAATAAAATATCCTTGCCAACTATTCATTACTGCATTGGGAATACAACAGCAGGATGAAGGTTTTCGATTTGCTCTTGCCCAAGTCTACTTTTATCTCCTCTTATCTTCCACTGCTGTTAA